TAATCTGATGATTTTGAGTATAGTACACATACATAATCTGATTTTGAAAATAGTACACATACATAATCTGATCTTGAGCACAGTATACATACATAATCTGATCTTGAGCACAGTATACATACATAATCTGATCTTGAGCATAGTATACATACATAATCTGATTTTGAACATAGTACACATACATAATCTGATCTTGAGCATAGTATACATACATAATCTGATTTTGAACATAGTACACATACATAATCTGATCTTGAGCACAGTATACATACATAATCTGATTTTGATCATAGTACACATACATAATCTGATCTTGAGCATAGTACACATACATAATCTGATCTTGAGCATAGTACACATACATAATCTGATCTTGAGCATAGTACACATACATAATCTGATCTTGAGCATAGTATACATACATAATCTGATTTTGAACATAGTACACATACATAATCTGATTTTGAGCATAGTACACATACATAATCTGATCTTGAACAAAGTACACATACATAATCTGATTTTGAAAAATAGTACACATACATAATCTGATCTTGAGCATAGTACACATACATAATCTGATTTTGAAAATAGTACACATACAAAATCTGATTTTGAAAAAGTACACATACATAATCTGATCTTGAGCATAGCATACATACATAATCTGATCTTGAGCATAGTGTACATACATAATCTGATCTTGAACATAGTACACATACATAATCTGATCTTGAACATAGTACACATACATAATCTGATCTTGAACTAGTATACATACATAATCTGATTTTGAACAACAGTATCTGATCTTGACAGTACAAATAATCTGATCTTGAGCATAGTACACATACATAATCTGATCTTGAGCATAGTACATAATCTGACATAGTACATACATAATCTGATTGACCATAGTATACATACAATCTGATCTTGAACATAGTACACATACATACATAATCTGATCTTGAGCATAGTACACATACATAATCTGATCTTGAGCATAGTACACATACATAATCTGATCTTGAACATAGTATACATACATAATCTGATCTTGAACATAGTATACATACATAATCTGATTTTGAACATAGTATACATACATAATCTGATCTTGAGCATAGTATACATACATAATCTGATTTTGAACATAGTACACATACATAATCTGATTTTGAACATAGTACACATACATAATCTGATCTTGAGCATAGTACACATACATAATCTGATTTTGAACACATACATAAGATCTTGAACATAGTACACATACATAATCTGATCTTGAACATGAACATAGTACACATACATAATCTGATCTTGAACATAGTATTTTACATACATAATCTGATCTTGAACATAGTATACATACATAATCTGATTTTGAACATAGTACACATACATAATCTGATCTTGAGCATAGTATACATACATAATCTGATCTTGAACATAGTACACATACATAATCTGATCTTGAACATAGTATACATACATAATCTGATCTTGAACACAGTATACATACATAATCTGATTTTGAACATAGTACACATACATAATCTGATCTTGAACATAGTATACATACATAATCTGATCTTGAACATAGTACACATACATAATCTGATCTTGAGCATAGTATACATACATAATCTGATTTTGAACATAGTACACATACATAATCTGATCTTGAACATAGTACACATACATAATCTGATCTTGAACATAGTATACATACATAATCTGATCTTGAACATAGTACACATACATAATCTGATCTTGAACATAGTATACATACATAATCTGATTTTGAACATAGTAAACATACATAATCTGATCTTGAACATAGTATACATACATAATCTGATTTTGAACATAGTACACATACATAATCTGATCTTGAACATAGTACACATACATAATCTGATCTTGAACATAGTACACATACATATTCTGATCTTGAACACAGTACACATACATAATCTGATCTTGAACACAGTATACATACATAATCTGATTTGAACATAGTATACAGAAATAATCTGATCTTGAACATAGTACACATACATATTCCGATCTTGAGCACAGTATACATACATAATCTGATTTTGAACAAAGTGAACAGAAATAATCTGATCTTGAGAATAGTATACATACATAATCTGATCTTGAGCACAGTACACATACATAATCTGATCTTGAGAATAGTATATATACATAATTGGATTTTGAACATTGTACACATACATAATCTGATCTTAGCAGAGTATACATACATAATGTATGCACTTAAACGGTATCAGTAACACATTATTCTTTATTTAAAAACTTCAATAGCTTAAATAAATTAAATTCACAGTTTCGCAATTAATGGTCAGTTGGGTAGAGATAACCAACAACATCCAGAAATAGAAGTAGAAATAGTTTCGCAATGCGCTGATGTTACAGTCTCAGGTAACGTCCTGAATTCTGTATCTTGGAACTTCTCTAACACCATTGGCGGTTTGCACAAAGAACACGTTAAAAGGAATTTAGAGGTTGTGTAACACTGATAACCCGACCCTTTAGCTGCCCATCTGTCTGAACGAGACTGTTGACTGGGATGGGAGAAGCCATCTTGTTGTCGTCTGCGATTGTGTTTTTCATGAAATCACATATTAATAAAATTTGTTCTTTTGTAACGTTTTGTGGTTTACAGCATTTAATTGGTTCGTTCTCGTAGTAGCGAGACTGAACATTCGTTGTAAATGTGTAGTAAAAACTGTTGAATGAAAAAAGTAGTTCCACATTCCAATTGGGTCATGGAGGTCATGGTCGGACAACTGACCAATGAAATTCGTTTTAGGGTTTTATTACACGTGTGCAACATATCATTTTTATGTACTCGGTTATGTTTCACTTAACGGGTAATAATTTACATTAATAACATTTGTTTATATGCATTCATTACCAAAAACTGTTGCATTCTCAGTGTTAGAAATTAAACTAACCTCAATTTATCTAATTAGCGGGTTAGTCCATTTTGCGCAAAGGGTATATGTCTTTGTTTTTTTAATAACTCCCTCGGTCTACTCCCAGTTGTGAGACTCCCAGTTGTGAGACAGTGGAGTAGGTATTTAGCAAAGAAAACACACCTTACTCCCCTATCTGATAGAATGGATGAACCCCAGCTAATAATGGATTAGCTATTTAACTGATTCTTGTGGAGGTAACTTAATGAAACTCTAAAAGATAAAGTAATTAACCTACTCGAGATAAATGGCTTTAAAAACAAACACTTTGTGTAGGTAACTTCGTGATCATTTGAAAGAGAAATTAATTTACCTACTCAGATTTACGTGTTTGAAAAGTCTAGCAATAACTGTTGTAACTATAATTAATCCAAATGTATTTATTAATCTTTGACTGCTCTTTCCGATCACCATTATGGCAGGCCTTCAACAAGTAGAATATATCACCAGTTCACGATAATCTTTTTCAGCATTTCAGTATCTATTGAAAACAATAAATGCTCTTCAACAAACAATGTCTTCTGTGTTGATTAACTCATTAATGAACTATGCCTCCTGCGGGTACTCTTCAGCAATAGGGCTGTTCCCACTTTCATCGTAGGGATGGGGAAGCACCACCTGTGTGCACTGAACCAAGTAAAACGATGATGTTACCAAGCAAATGTGGATGATTTCAATTCTTGCAAGCGTAAAATATTTGAGCATGTGACCTCATCGTTATCGCTGGGTGGTTGTCGTCATCGGAAGATTGTTTTGGATATCTCTGCACATTGGGGATCTGTACTTGTGTACCAGTTTACGTTCAATGTTCTTCAATCGACCGGAGCCAAAACTATCGAGTGTGTGTCATTAGGTGTAACCCCTGTGCTTGAATGTGACATTGTTGAGGTTACGTTCACTATCAATGGGGGACTACTCTTCTTCGCCACATCCTTCTCGTTTTCCCGAGCCAGAAACTGCCACTGGGAATGTAATGGAATTTAAGGAGTTTTCAGTATGAAATGTGAGTTGATTACATTCTGCATGTTATCAAGACATTATCTTTATTTATTATCATGCGTCGGAGGAATGTCTTGAGCAATGACTTTTGTGTAGATCAACCATTCCTGTACACGTTCGATTGAATAGATAAGACGTGTGCCGCCATTTGCACTCATGAAGCCTTGCAAAACGTTCCATGTTGTACAGTGTTTCAACGAGTGTGTTTTGGTTCTGATTGTCATGAGTGAATTTGATAACATTGGAATTACAAAGTATCTCGGAGCTGTAAGTGAGTCTTCATCATGTTTATCAGTGAAAAATGTGATCTTCATCAATGCATCAAAGAAACAACGAGGCAAATCGATCTCACAATGGACAGGCACTGGCGTTATCGTGTCAGGTATTTTTGCAAGACGACACATGGCACTTGTCGCATCTCTCCAGTAAAAGTACCAGTGTTGTATATTTTGAATGTTCGAAGGGAATTCCTGGCTTTATCTCTAACGATGATTTTCACATAATTGTTTACACAGGTATCACTGATTGTACGAGCCATTTTGAATTCGCGACTAGAAATCAAAAGTTTTGATAGATGGAATTACAAAATAAATAGATTCGTGTTATATTTATTTTACTTGTGACTCATTGTATAAATACCTGTTTATGTTGCAATCGCGAAAATATATAACAGGGAGGTGTAAAGGGGTATTTTGTGCACGAGTAACAAATTTCTGTTCGATAGAAGCACAAGTAACTTATCAATGAATTTCAATCAGGAAAGTAGTCCGTCATAACCTGACCCTAGGTCATCACCATGGAGTCGCCAATCACGGGATTAGAAATCGATCTCACACATATGTGTGATACCAGTTTTCTCACATGGGTTTCTCACCCACGGGTGTGTAAGAAATAGCTGTCCTCTATGCTCCTTTCTAGTAATGTAAAGTTGTTTTGTTTTAGCATGGAGGTTTACCTGAACACATAATTTCAGCAACTTGTTCCTTCTAGTTGTGGCCGGCATAGCGTACTGGACAATAGGGTATCCCCTGGCGTATGGTTCGGGCAACAGTTTTATCGGCTTTTCCTACTGGGCATCTGATGGTCTGCCGGACACAGAGTACGCCAGTTTTTTCTTCCAGTACGTTTTCGCCGCCACAGCTGCCACCATAGTGTCCGGCGCCATGGCCGAGAGATGCGAGTTCATTGCCTACTTCGTCTACAGCTTCTTCATAACAGGTACGTGGAAAACCGAACTAAACATCAACATCAATCCAGACCCCTGTAGATTCTACAACCACAAGTAGACATCGCCTTGGCTTAATGTCATCATCCCATGGGTTGACATCATACAGGATGTCGAGTGAGTGAGTGAATGGTTCGTTACTTTCACGCCGCACTCAGCAATATCTCAGCTATATGGCGGCGGTCTGTATATAATCGAGTCTTGACCAGACAATCCAGTGATCAACAACATGAGCATCGATCTACGCAGATGGGATACGCTGACATATGTTAACCATGTCAGCGAGCCTGACCACCCGATCCCGTTAGTCGCCTCAAAGGACAAGCATGAGCTACTGCAGACCAATTCTGCCCCGGATCTTCACGGGTTTCAGACTTGGTATGTGCATGAGTTTCAAGAAGCCAAACATAATCCGTATTTTCAAAAACACGTTTTACGCGCTTGATTCCAGCATCTTAATTTCTCCAATCAAGTGAATCAGTACTTTGAAGAGTGCTGTTCACTATCTAACAATTACTAGATTCCCAATAATGACCTGCCTGATATACATGTCTAACTTAGGGTCCCTCTGAGCTGAATAATTTTTGGTCAATAATACACGTTCCATGTTGTAGCCGTTGTGTACCCTGTCGTCACTCACTGGGTGTGGACATCTGATGGTTGGTTGGCCGCCGGCGGAACATATGGAAACATTACTGCCAGCTATCAGGTCAGTAAACACCCAATGAATATACCCCAAGAAAGGTGCTTGTGTTCCTCCTACTGTCACTAGGCCCTACATAGCCGATAGAAGGCAATGTTGTGACGTTAGTATCATGTGATACCAGTAAAATGCTTCGTAAATGGTTACCAGTCTGGAGTTGCATGATAGTGATAATGTAGAACATAGAGGGGTGGAGCTCGGTATCCCTACATCCATGGTGAGTTGAAAGGGTCCAACTCAATCGGTATAACCAATCACCAGATCCAATCAAGCCAAAGCCTAAGTATACACTACAAAGCACTTTTTCTTGCAGATACAAAACTAGAATTATACAATATCTTTGTTTGAAAATATACACTATTTTTCTCACATTGAGATTGGGAAACTCAAAATAAGTGCAGGAATATTATGCCATTATGGGGACTTGAGCGCATGGTGCGCATGTAATCTGGTCACGTGTCTAGTTCCCACAATTTCTATAGTGAAAATAATTGCGTGATATATATTCACAAAACGATACGGCGTGTATACACGGCACATATACATTTGAAACTGTAAGCTGCAGTATATAGAGAATACTACACGAGGTCTCATTACATACGAATTATACGAAACGAGTGTCCTCCCTATGGTATCTGACTGAGCGAAAGCGAGGTCAGAAACCATAGGAAGGTCACGAGTTTCGTATAATTCGTATGTAACGAGACCGAGTGTGGTATTTTATTTAATACCCAAGATTATTTATTACAAACCAAAACCGGTTTCATAAAGAGGTTGCAGAAGAATTGTTCTGTAATACACTTTTTGCATGACATCACTACGCCTTGCTCGTTTGTCCCCTTGGTAACCGACGTCACGATGCATGTCAGTTGTCATCGCCTCTCGTACAGCCTCCTACAGTAAACTACTCCGTAGCACCCTGTTTCTTAGTTTGCACTTGCGGCACTCGGCTGACATCACTGGTGGAAACTTTGCGTTTATGTTTTTGGACGGATATAATGTCTCAGTTCGACTCACAATTAAAGAGCGATACGGCAACGTTCGCAATGTTTGCAATCCCACAATGCATATCAGTTGTAGAATGAATGAATTCACGTGTTTGTTATGAATGACAAAGTAGTTCCGTCACAACGTGACCTAATTGAGAGGTCATCGGTTATCCAATCAAATCGTTAGAATTTCAGGTCAAGTCGTTACGACACAGGTCAACGCGATACGACACTCGTGTGACGTACGAGATCAGTATGCAACTACCCATACGTTGACCACGTGGGTAATAAAGGTAACTCAAGTATTACGTGGTTTCAATTATAAACCTTCACCTCAAGGAACATACCAAGTATACACATTAATATTGACGCATGACATCGCCTCCGTCGGCCTTCACAACACGGTGCGTCCACTGACTGAATACGACAATCTCCCAATTCATGCCATGACAGTACTACCATACATATCCCAAAACAAATGAACCAAAGTCTGCAACGAGTCGACAAATGAATCTCTCGAAATAGGAGAAAATGATACACAGTATAAAATTTAAACGTTACTTTGTTAATATTAACAATGGGCATTTTCTCCGAGCACACAAATATTTCCACAACAAGTTTTGTTTTTGCCAAGTTTCGCCTTGACACTTTGTGTTGGTGTTTAAGACTATTTGTTATATGGTTTGTAAAACTATGAGAAATACAGATATGCACTTATCGTTGCTGAGTATGAAATATAAAGGAAACGTGACTTTCAAAGTGATTAAGTAATGTGTCGAAACTAACGAGATTTACGATGTACCTAACCTTCAGAAATTATACTTTACTGCAATCACAGTGGATGATGTCAAAACACTGTAAATGCTTATCGACATGCACGCATCACAAACATCTACCCACAACAAGTGAATCGGGACCTAAAACCTTCTTTTGTTGTTATTATTTTATCATTATAAGATATATATATATATGCTTTCGTGTGAACTGGACTGAAACATTCACTCGGGAACATATCTATCTATGTTTGAGAGAAAGCTGTAAGAATCTTGGGTCGAATTCTCTCTCGGAATCCTACGGGCTAACATGGCATGAGTAATACTAACGCTAATGCTACAATAATGATTCTTCTCCAGGACTTCGCTGGCAGTGGTGTGGTACACATTCTTGGGGGAACTGCTGCCTTTTGTGGGGCTGTCATGCTTGGACCAAGACTTGGCCGATTCCACCCCGACCAGCGAGGGCCGATCGATCTCCGAGGACATTCAGTTCCTGTAAGTATTAGTCACAGAAAAAAACACATAATGGAAGCACTCTCCATTGTTAATACGTGTACCTGGATACTCCCTGCTGTAGTTTAGAACACTGATCATTGTCCATTCTGTTTCCTCTGTCCAAACAATCATCCGGACTTCGGCTGTAGGTAGTGGTGTTCTTAAACACCATTGACTCATGTCTTCACAGGATATTGTACGAACCCCTTTTGGGTATAGGTTTGTCTGCAAATATTCGGCTTAAAACATAGATACTGAGCTGAAAGTATCAAATGTATGGCTGATGAAGGTATATAATATGAGAATGACAATGAATCCCCACTAAAAGCAGCTTCTGTTGTACGATTCTCGCATCTGTTGCATACGTCACGCACACATGCAGAGGCATGTCAATCGTTCACCTGAAAAAAAGATACTGGGATACATATGGTACAGCCCAAACAGGCAATTGCTTAGGACATGTTTTCTGTCACTGATGTGTCAGATTTGTAATATCCCTTTATATGTCTGCCTTAACCTTTCAATTTTTCTGTAAGGCATTGGAAGAAACTTGAAAGAAGGTCTGAGAATGTGTCGTTTCCTGCGTTAAACTGAATGAGAATACTAGTTTCACTGATTTTGATTCTGTTTGTGATGTGTTCTGGATCACATATTTATCCATTTGTTTCAGCTGGCCGCTCTTGGGGGATTCATATTGTTGTTTGGTTTCCTGGCCTTCAATGGGGGCTCTGCTCTAATGATCTCCGGTGAAGGTAGCGGCGCTAGCATCAGTGTCTCTGTTGTCAACACCATCATCTCTGGTTCCATGTCAGCTTTTGTCTCCCTCTTCATCCACAAGACTGGGTACTTTGGGACACGCCACTGGAGCCTCCTTAGCACCATGAATGGCGCCCTCACAGGCATGGTGAGTACGACGGGCATTGCTTGTGAAGATTAGGTAAAATTCATTTTTCTGTATCGATTTGTATCGAAGAGAAGAAAACAACGTGAGACTTTGCTGAATGCTTGTCACGGTACAATCTCCGCGTGTTGTTTGTTAGCAACCCGTTGAGTGTCGTCTCCAAATACGAATGTGTATAACAGCGTTCTCGCATCTCCGCACCAAGGCCAATTTCTGGTGTTCCCCGTCGTCGCATTACAGGACTAATAGTGGCGTAAAACAATACTCAATTCACCAAGTCACTGACAGATTTATTTATTTCCTGCGTTTAAGCGGCTATTTGTTGTATCGTGGACACTCAGCAAATTGGGATCAGTACCATCAACAGGTCTTTTACAAATGACACCTTGTATATTTTGAAAACAAGAACACTTGAATGGCTGAGCATCTGTTTAAAGCTGTCTTGAAAATCTGTATCAGAATGAGCACAGTTAGATTAGTGTAGTAGATCATCCAAATGAAATGCAGGTGTTACACAGTTACCTTCCCAAGGGGTACAACCCGTGAACATCCGGGTTAGAACAAGTCTTCAGCAACCCATGCTTGCCGTAAGAGGCGACTAACATGATTGGGTTGTCAGGCTCGCTGACTTGGTTGACACATGTCATCGTATCCCGATTGCATAGATCGATGTTCATGCTGTTGATCACTGGATTGTCTGTCCCAGACTCGGTTATTTACAGACCGCCACCAATCAAACCAAGTAACCAGCTCAAAGGGTACAAGAAAGCTCGGGATATACTCTAACATTAATTAAAGAAGAGTTGTTTAATATATTTCCATCTGTATATATGCACATTTTTAGACATTTTCAAGCTTCAGAAAATATTACACGGGCCCAGAAAAAAATGTTATCGGTGTACAAATTTAGCGGGAGGAGAGATTTTTTCCTTCACTGTCGGACATGAAGGTTTGAATGTCTCCAGTGTGTGAACGACTCATGTTGAATGTTTTCCACAGGTGGCAGCCTGCGCTGGGTGTAACGTCCTCTACCCTTGGGGGGCCCTCATCGTCGGCTTCTTCGCCGGCATCTCGTACAAAGTTTGGTCCAGTTTCATGCACAGATTGAAAGTCGACGATCCTTTGGACGCGGTGGCAGGTGAGCTGGGAGGGAAACCTCACGCCGGCATGTTCCTATTCACACGGGGACGGACGGTCGGTTTAAAAAGTGGGGGCATGGGAAACAAGTTCGTCCAAGCGCCTCTATTTGCGGTGAAGAGTTGCGTTCCTTGGAGACGCTTTATATAACTTACGGTTCTCCACCGATAGTAACATGACACGCGCTGACAAAACTGTGATACTCACTCATTCACGAAGTAACTCGTACTTTTAACATTCACTTTGGTTGGACTATCAGCACATAGAGCGATTGCAGCGAATAGTATTATTTTGTTTATGGAACGTTGCACTAAGGTTTATCAACAGTTTCTGCACCAAATTCTTGTGAAATAAATTCCATCCACTTAGAAAGTTCGTAAGGTGGTTGTTGCTTTTTAAAATCATTACGAACCAACAGAATGGTCACTTGTTCATGAACAAAGAAAGTGCATCTCCATTTTGTTACTTGTGAAATTTGTTTCATATTTCAGTTCATTTCGGTGGCGGTTTGTGGGGAGTCCTTTCTGTGGCGTTTCTGAAAAGAGAGGAGGGCATACTCTTTGCCTGGGACAAGAAATCAGGTTTGGTAAGACGGCGCTTTACTGATGAATTCAGAAACAGATTGTGGGTCAACCCCAAATTACCGTTGTTAATGTCATCATCCACAGGTCTGTTTGTACCATTCGTCACATTACTGACATACATCTGGATACAGGAGACCCATCCTTATATTTTCTCCGATCACTACTTCAGCACACGAGCTTTCGTTCTGTGTAAGAAATAAGCCGATCAACCCTGCTGACAAAGTAATATTGGGGACAAAACTTTAAACACTTCATTTTTTGTAGACTACCTAGTAGGAATTAGACTTCCAATAGATTTTCATAGTGTAGGCCTGCACAAATAAATATTTTGAAAGAAAATGAAATTCAGAGTAAAAGTGGTGTCTTCGTATCAACGTAACGGATAAACGAATAATTTGCATAAACGTGTTCGGCATCAGAGATATTGAAATCATTGCAAGATGTGACTAGACATTGAGTGGACCATGAACACTTCATTCACAAGCTTTCCCGTAAGCATTGTGTACCGGGAATTACGAAAATGGGGCATGGTGGAACAAGTTAAATACGGCGACGCAGTTCTCATTTGCGTTTCTTGGTGTACCAGAATTCTGTGATTGTTTCTTCAGATCAGACCCGTGAAGGTCCGGGTTAGATTATTGAACTTCAGTAATCCATCCTTGTGGTAAGAGGCGACTAATGGGATCGGGTGGTCAGGCTCGCTGACTTGGTTGACACATGTCATCGGTTCCCAGTTGCTCAGATCGATGCTAATGCTGTTGATCACTGGATTGTCTGGTCCAGACTCGATTATTTACAGACCGCCGCCATATAGCTGGAATATTGCTGAGTGTGGCGTAAAAGTAAACTCACTCACTCACTCACTCTTCCGATCGCCGATTCGCGGTGATGCTGTTGTGATATTTGTCAGCACCAAACCCTTGCTTGTGGTAATCTTCCTAAGATCCGCCTGATTTTCAGCATCTGGTTCACACTGCGACTGAAACAGCTGAAAACGGTGGGGGGTCTGCCTGACTGTACGTGTGGACTACAAGCTACGCTATGCGATGAGATCTGTCAATGATTGTCATTTTACGGCTCAGTCGGACACTGTCATATACCTGCAGATGTAGTGGGGTACACTAGGAGTCAGGGCGTTCGCTCGTCGACGACCCGGGTTCGATTACGAATGGGTACCATGTGTGAAACCCATTTCTGGTGTCCCCCGCGATGATATTGCAGGAATATTGCTAAAAGCATCTATAACACCAGACAATAAATGATCGATCGGATTCATCGTCACATTCTTCACGAACATATTAACAAAAACGTCTGATGAAAATTTGTATGTTGTGTTAAAGTACGGATGGTATCAACAAAGTGCCTGTCACACGTTTCTAAAAATGCCGAAGAAATATTTCACAACAAATGAAAAGTACATTACACGTGTAACTTGGTGCTTCTTCATCATTACGTTTGGTAGGGGACCCTATAGTGGTTAAAGCGTTCGCTCATCACGCCGGAGACCCGGGTTCGATTCCCAACAAAGGCACAACATGTGATGCCCATTCCTGCTGTGCCCCCGCCGTGATATTGCTGGATTATTGCTAAAAACGGCTTAGAACTAAACTCACCCACTCACTTCTTCAGATTTTGGCGTGGCAGATTGTAGGCGTTGCCGCCATTACTGCATGGACAGCAATACTGTGTCTCGTCATGTTCGGCATTCTCCGGCTGCTCGGTAAACTTCGGGTGGACGAGGCTTTGGAACGGAAAGGTTTGTATTGCCTGCATATAATGTACGGCATCCTTTTGTATTTATTCGGAAGCAAAATGGTGAGTGAATATTGCATAAGGCCGCACCATCAGCTTTCCGCGGTGAAGGAAGCAAAATATATGGCTCATGTCTCATTCATTTCACGTCTTAACGTGACGGCTGATCAATGAAGATGCGGTACGGTTAGAGTTTTAACGGGAAATGTAGTCTGACTGTATTAGCTATTTCCATATTAAACAAGCGTGTATATGTCTGTGTCAGTGATCGATGCATTGGTACCTAAGATACTTACGGTACGTTGTCGACATGTCAATTACATGGCGTGTGCAATCACACCGCCAAAACCACGGATTCCTTTCACACACGGGGACAATATGGTGTCCCCGACCATGATAATACTTACTAACAGACAGACAGACAGACAGACAGAGAAGTTTATTTCTCAACCAACCAACGGTGGTTCATGAGAATATATAAATACATAGGTAAACAAATATATACATGGCAAGTGGCTGGACATGATCATTTGAATATTACTTAGTAAGCGATTTATACAATACATTCAGAAATGACTTTAAGTTCCTTAGATGTTTAGTAGTTTTATTACATAATAATTTCTTTAACATTGAATGTTTTTGGAGATCACACATATATGTCGCGAGATAGGTATTTCGCTGTTGGAGAAGGGTTTCACATCTAAAGAGATAGTGAAACTCATCCCCAACAACGTTAGCGTTACACAGCTTACATATTCTTTCCTCTTTTTGAATAGAACAATATGTACACGCGTCAGAGTGTTTTCATCATCATGCTACGAGGCTGCATTGATTTTTTGTTTATTCGTGAACAGGACTTGACATCCCTAAGCACGGCGAGCCAGCGTACCCCATGGAGTCGTACGGGCATGGCTGGGTGGAGCGAATCCTGAAGGTGCTGGAGGACGGTAGACTGTCGGAGATAAAGCAAGGTTCGGTGCTACTTCAACATAAATCACTCTTGATTATGTCATGATGTATAGACAGACTATGGCCATTGTATTTATGTTCGTGGGCTTTCGAAAAAATCGCGTTTATCCTTCACGAAACCAATCAGGCAGAACACGATTGTATCATATAATCAGATTTGATCTTATAATTTTTAACACAACTGTTTATCAAAGTCTTTATTTTATTACAAGCTTATAAGGTTACTTTTACAACCTCATGGGAAAGTTTGTAATAATATGTATAATTTCTCGATTTGTTACAACATAATGAACACGTATATTCAGACAGATTCGTGTTATCAGAGGCAGCTATCTGACAGTACTTGCCACATAACCAAACAAGGTTCCAATGTTCCTGATGTATTTTTGGCACATCAGTAACGAATTTAATACCTTGATGTTGGTGAATGTCAGTTTCTGTGGCAGAAGCAAGGATAATTGTCTGAGAAAATTATGTGTCTTCAATAGTGATAGCTGATACCTGTCGTATTTAAACAGTGGTGCATATGTATCGGTGACTATTTGCAGTAGACGTGATCATTGACGGTATGAGCCTAAGTGGGAGTTCACAATGGAGGCATGGATGTCGTTATTTATTCTTGTCTCGTAGGTTTTCACATTTTAATTTTGACATTTTAACTCAAGGTTAAGGTCGTGTAGTTGGAGGTCAGACAAATCATACACATCAATCAACTAATTATTATGATTATAAGCCACTTTTTTCGTCATTCTAAAAACTGAAAAGGAATATGGCCGAATAAAAGAATTCTGATAGAGCAGCTTTACGTTCTTTACAAATATGTGATCATCATTAGAACCGGTTTGATGGAACGTTTTCAAATAGCTTTTCACCCGAAATGCTGCAGATACCTGCATTCCAATGGACTGATTTCAATTGTTGAGTGTATATTCCTTCATTACTTGTCTCATTACTTGATAAGAGTGAAGTACGGATTCCTCTCCTTATCATGATACATGTCTTGGTCGCGGGTTCGAATCTCAGATTATCCCACAGTACAATGCCAGTGACGGTCTGACATGTATTTTGTAAGTCACTCACTCACTCCGTCTGTTTATCCATGCAGAGATCGGGGAGATTATAAAGGTAAGATTGTCCATGCAGCGGTATGCTCTGACATAATCACATTAATGTACTCACATAGCATCAAATATATAAGTTATTAATACTTACCACATATTTACCTACAAATCTCACTCTATAAACCTCCATTTGTAGTGGGGGTCATTATGTACATTATTCAGTAAACTTTCAACGAATAATGTACCATAATCAAATTGGGTGAGATAAACTAGACTTAGAAATCACGTCGGCAATATTTCAGCCTTATCGTGAGTTAGTGCCACAGTTAGATTATAAGGTGACATATAAGGTAAGGTGGTTATCATTTCACTTCTTCCTGGTGCACGGCAAACAGTATATTCGGCTCGAAGACTGCGTCTGTATCTACTTTACACTACGATCTGGTATTTCAGTGGGCTAACACTAAAATCGGTATTAGTCCGAAATACAACAGGCAAATCCGGCCCTAGCCCACACTCTATAAGGCACGCACACACACGCTCACACACGCACGCAGGCACACGCACAAACACAAGCACAAGCATAAGCACACATGCACCACGAGTTTACCATCCCCACCCCCCACCGCTCCCATGACGTTAGCCCATGTAGCTAGAACCACTTCATGTACTAACTTGTCGTATCCAATTACATTTATATTAATTTACTTACAGCATAACGTATCACTAACTACGTGTATGGTAATACAGGGTGTAATGGTTACTTGTCCTCAGGTCGCATACTGGTATTCCAGTAACATAACACGTGTCTGCGACCTGCCTCACTTTTGGAATTCCTCCAAAATGAATGATGATTATGATGATGATTTGGATATTTTACATGCGCATTCAGACAAAATGCATATTTCGTACATGGGACGCTGTTGTGTTCGGTTCAGTTCGGTAAAAGACTCCTACATTCACATAACAGATGTCTGCATGAACCAATTGCTTAAGAATTAAACCATTTTTGGTCAATGTGTCATTTTGCTACATTCATTTAGATTCCTATACTAATATATGAAGACGTACACAGTTGTTTATCCGTGTTTGTACAGATATTCAGGTATTGCTGACAACATGTAGCCATTCTGTATTCCGCAGCACGGATGGTTCAATCTTCCGAGCCGACAAAAAATACGTTTGCTGAGTTGCACCCATAGGCGTGCGTAAATCTATGCACGTGTTTCAAATCTGAGATTTCTGAAGATCTGATATAATAACACATTTTATTACTTGTAACTTTGTAAGTCTTAGGTTTCACAAAAGTTCTGAAATTTTGGTTTACATCCCACACTAAAACAAACAGCTGTGTTATAACAGAAATACTGCTCAGTGCGACGTAAAACAGCATTGACTCACAAATAAGTTACAAATCCCCCTGTCTTGCTGAACATCAGTTCTGACCCGATCGTCTTGCATGTCTCATTAACCTTATTAACTGTAATGACGGTTTCACAACTAACGTAGGTCTCATCAAACTCTGACAGATTTCAAGTAACTGTAAACACTGACATTGGCCAAAACGGAAGCCAACTGAATTTGAGATATATAGTGAACCACAGTGTAACTAATAACTCACATCCGAATTACAAATATTTTTTGGTTTCTTGTAATTTAGCATGTCCGTGAATTAAAGTTTCCCGTCCAATTTCGTGAGACAAATTGGATTGTAAATATCGTCACGTCTTCATGCTTCATGTACTGACTGACTGACTGAGTATGGTTTTACGCCGCTTTTAGCAATATTCCAGCAACATCACAGCGGGGAACACCAGAAATTGGCTTTACACATTGTACCCATGTGGGGATTCGAACCCGGGTCTTCGGCGTGACGAGCCAACGCTTTAACCACTAGGCTACCCCACCGCCCCGCTTCATGTACAGAATGGATGCTTAATAATATAAACTATATTGAAGGTATTTTGAGGATTACGTTTCATCAATTTGAATTTAAAAATGAAACACTCATGTTTATGATTTTCTCATTCAGTATATTGTTATATTCAGTTGTTCCTGGTATTGACAACGAGGGGTACAAAAATGATGAAAATCATTTAATCGGCTTTGACTCCCCGGAAGTGGAGGTGATGAATAACAGCAGGATCAAGACAACCAAACATCCCCTCCCAACCAAAAACGGTGCTCCGCGTGATCTCGTCACCACGCAGATGTAGATGGGGCTGCTTCAGTGACTTAGATCCCTGCCCCGAACTGCACATTTCAAGGTGGACAAGTTTTGCCCAGATGGGCAGTGACTCGATATGGTCACATCGAAGTCTCAAGGCTGAGGCATCTACTTTAAAACGAACGTTCAAAAGCCGCATGTTTGTTGACTAAGGCGGGGAAGGGGTTTCAAAATTGTATATAGGAAGAACATTCACGATTCAGTGTAGAGAATTCCACGTATTGCATACATTTTATGATTTTGGAGATATTAAGACTGTGGCGTACTTCAATGGGAATTTATAAGACAGAATGGACATACACTTGGTGACAGACCCGTAATCCACGGAACAATAATCAGGAGAGTAAATTCATCTGTTTCCCACATGTAACTCAAGTAATTTTAAATTTGGCACTGTAACAGTTAACATTTTCAAATATATATACGTTTCACACTTTGCTAAGGATCAAATCGTGGATTCAAGACAATACTATGATGTGGGTTTAAATTTGGTTAAATATCTAAGCTTATTGTAAGCATGGATCCTAGGTTCAGTATGTCATTTCATCTTGTGGAACCCATACCTGCAATTGACAGGTGTTGTGTACTTGTCAAAGACTCATCCCATGATTTTCAAAATGGTTTATTGGTGCCATGAAAACCGTTTTGATGGCTACTCATGTATCAAGTGCATAAGTTAGATTAAAGTGACTGTTTGCCTACAGAGGGGTTACCATATTATTGTGTATCCCGTTTTAAATGGATACAATTTCAAATTATGAATCTACTTTTAAGTAAAGTTGCGTATGTGTGTGATCCTTAGCAAAGTGTGAGTAGTATATTACCATATACAGATATTATACAGATACTTAGGTTTTACTGTCTATTCGTCATATGCACTTTGTATACGTCTTCATTAATGTGAATCTTATGACGGATGATTGTTCTGACAATGTCTACTTCATCTTGTATAGCATCTCGCCAGCATCGTTTAGTTTTGGCTATGTCATGTCTTATAATCATGGATCCTATAAATCCACCAATGTCACTTGCATTTAATGCATTAATGCCATGAAGAAATATATATTGTATAACTGTGTCCTCTTATTCTGTAAAGTTCATTTCTTGTGTCACACGTTGTGGGACCTGAGAGCTACTCGCCAAGATCGGTTGGTATCTTTACTTCCACCAGACAATACCAAAGGATCAATATTTGAGTAAATGTTCGCAAAATTGTTTATTATATGTAATTAAGTAAAAGCACGACAGATATTTCAACTTTTACTTTTTACAGCTTTTTGATGAAATTACTTAGTTATAGCCAATTGTCTATATATGTTAAATCGTTGAAATAACAGACATCAAGAGATGGATCTGACGGCTGCGATATGCAGGGCACCCGGTGTCATTTCTTTGGTATTACCTAGTGGCAATTGTCAAATGCGGCGCCATTGTGTTGGAGCCATGCAAATAAGTTCATTGCCACTCATAAGTACTTGAGACATGTGTCACACAAAGAATGTTTAATATCACACGCAGCGCCTCCCTTAACGCGACTCCATGTACTTGATTATTCATCAGTCTCTATGCATTCTTTATGACTTACAGCACCAAGCATTGATGACCGGGTTGGAACTGTCTTCAGCAGCCCATGCTGGTGCAAGAAGGTACTAACAGGATTGGATGGTCAGACTGGCTGACTGGGCTGACTGGGCTCACACATGTCATTGTATCCCAATTGCGTAGATCAATGTTCGTGCTGTTGATCACTGGATTGTCTGGTACAGACCGCCGCCATATAGCTGTAACATTGCTGAATGCGGCGTTAAAAACCAAACAAACAAATACAAACATTCAATGTTCAGAATGATCCATTGTGAGGTCGACATTATGTTACTCCAACTCAGATCCACGCACTGTGATCTCAGAATCATGCACTGGATTTCAGCATCAACCATTAATTGCTCCGTGTGATGTCAATCATTTTGCGTCTTAGTATTGCTGTTCGTGAACATTGTATCATTTGGGTTAGGCCAGCATGACGTGTTGCGTGCTTAGTGTCGCCAGAACCCGGGTCACTATCAACATCGTGATTATTAACATCTTGTGCAGTTCAGCATCACCCAGATGTGACCAGCATCTGTACTAATCACGACCGATTCATTGGTCTGGTGGCTGGAGCATCTGCGTGGAGACAGGGAGTATGAGGGTTTATCCCCACCTGAGTTTTACCCAAGGACCTTAAAGATGATGGTTGTTGCTACCATGCCTGGTGTTCCTTAGTAACGGGATGACGTCAGAGAAGGTTGGCTATAGGTACGTGTTCTGTGTTTGAGTTGGAGTTTGAGTATTAACCATCCCCAAACTGTAGTATGGTATCTCATTGGGCTGGGAATAATATTTACACCAACAAACATATGCACGATTATTACTCAACCACATCCACGTTTTTGTATAAGAGCGGTTATCTGGACGCGACCTCATACCCAACATTAGTTAATCAAACCTTGTGGAACACGTGAAACAGGCACTCTTTTCCTCCAGATCTACACTATCGTCACTGTTTTACACGGCAAAGAACCGTAGAGTAATGTCTTCAACCGTATGACGTTTGGGGCCTGTTAGAGAGCTACACATGTTCAACACTTGCACGGAGCTGAGCATCGCGTTTAAATATATTAATAGTTATGGATTTTTCAAAAACCTTCATTTTCTTCAATAATGTGAACTTTTGGACAAGACGATTATCATGAAGAGGATGACGTCTAGAAAACGTCAGATGTCAGACGTATTCTTCTCAAAGATCACCTTAAACTAAAACAAAATTGTTCGTGTAATTTTGGTGTCATCGTGAAAGGCTATTATGATCTTTTTTTTCAGTCGTGTCAGTTTTTTCTAAAATATTATTCTCTGTTCAGTACATAAATCCTGCACAGCGTTCAAATTGCCAGAATGACATTTTTAAATTGAAGAAATATTTGGCAATAAATTGGATGGTTTTCATTTGATACGCTATGATACGTATTATCGACGGTAACACGGCTATATTATTTCCCCAGTGCTTGTTTCCGATTGGACAAAATGTGTCTTACCAACTGCCAAATAATAATGATTATGTTTACGCCCATACTGCGCAAATGATTGGTTAATATTAAACCCTGCATAAACTATAAGGTAGAAATGTATCATCAAATGATGTGAACAAATGATCACTCCGATAAAATGAAACACATTATTCCACACATTGTATATGTGTAATTTCAGCTGGTGAGTTGGTTTGCATTAACGCCAGTCTTAACTGTATTTAGTTTTACCAGTTTTATGTGTTATTTAAATTCCTGCTACTTGACGGTGATATATAAGTATCGACCCAGCAATCATGTTATTGAAATTTTGTGCATCTATGTACACGAAAGCAGGAAACACACATGTTTAACATAACAAATATGTCACATTGTCACATCGATAATGACCCAATTTCTTAACACCACACCTCACCGGTCAAAAGTTAACATAAAATGTATACAATAGCCTGCGTACGGTCCAGCTTACACTTGACATGTTTCAATGTGACGACCCAGCCAGGTGAGTCATCGTGGGAGGGGGAAAAAATGGTAAAAATAATGTCGCTTCCCAAATGTGTATAACATATATCACTCTTCGTCACGTGGTGGATGAAATTATACTGGATAGGTCAGTGCTGTTTGCAGCAGTTTCCGTATTACGTTTGACTCCTCGCCTACATATTACAACTAGCATCTCATCTCCCTCTATTAAACCTTTCCCGAAACACTGTATAAAAATTGCAACGCTTTAAGATGAATGACATTGCCACATAACAATACGGACTAAGAAACGAAACACATAATTTTAGTTTGTACATTAACACAATTTGAGGTAGAAAGGTTTCTGTGTCGGTCGACTTCGGGATTATGCCGGGGAGTGCGCCCTTCTCACACGTGAGTGATTTCCTACGTCTGTAGTTCAGGAAATTACTCTGATGTGTATTCAAGGAGGGCCACTGATCCAGAGCGATTAATGTTTCCAGCCAACAGTCTAATTACACGGGCACGGGGACTGGGCCACTGTCCACCTTGGCAGAATTTCTTCAACCTAAACAGTGGGACATTAGGAAGGGTGAATGCCCATCAGATGCTGTTATTTGACAATATCCCCGGTAGTTCTTGCCTGATTGTAATAAAGTATCCCAACAGCCTTTTCAGATTTTCAAATGCTTGGATGGTATAGTGACTGATCCAATTTGATCCTATTTCTGTGTCTTTACCTCGATATTTTAATCATGTAAAAATATGATGTCTATCACCTATGCTATGCTAGGTACATAGGTATATACAGTTTTTAACTAAGTACACAGCAAATGCTTATATGTATTTCTTATGCAACAATGAAGTTCCGTTCGTATCCTCAAAACAGTGACGGTCCCTAACGTTTTCAGGCAATCAAACTTGCATGCACTGCAGTGATTACAACTATCTTGCTGTAACCCTTGTTCGGTGGAAAACCTACCTGTACACATGTTACTTGTCATCATTCCCTTGATGGTCAGTTAATGAATTTATAACAGGTATAATTAGTGGTAACACCACTCAGATAACCCGACAAAGGTTCCCATTTGGCATTTCTCGTGTCTGGACTAAATACTCAACATTATTAAGGTCTGATGTAACAAATGTATTACATCTTATGTAATATATGTATGGAAGTGCAGCAAGAGGAATTATCAGCTGAGTTACAAAAACAAACATCGATCAAAGGATTAACCGATAACACGCTGATTGATTAATTACTTTTATCTTGCACAGCGGATTTGTCAATAAGGTAGTGTTTATGTATGTAGATTTACGAATCTATACTGAATACACCCTGTCGTTAAGTGTCTGTGTAAAAACAATATCCTTCATTCAAAGCATTAACCGCCAATACGTTGATTGATTGCTCATTATTGGCTAACTAAATTACCTTTTTTAAAGAATGGCGGACATCATGCAATTAGTTGCCAGGTGTGCTATCTTAGGTGACCAATGACTATACAACAATGTGATAAACCTGAAACGATATATCACTATTCCGCATATTACACTGTTACAAGACACATGACATGGAACAGATTCTATGGCAGCTGCAGATGAATGGCATATCGTTCCTTTATGTGGATATTGATGGATACATTCCTCGAACAAGGTAATACCCTGGCATGGTTGCTATTACTTTAGTCTGTTATAATTTTAATATTTGCATTTTGTCTTTATTTACTTATTGTAGCATTCAACAGAATCATTTTTTCGTCGTGAAGTGCAACGAGGCAGACAACATACATTAGGTCGCACTTAGGGCGTGTGTGTGAAATATGATTCACGTTGGCAATCTATAAGATGTCTAGATATTACAGTCATGGTATAAATGCACTAAGTATAAGCAGATCGTTCGCATTTTTTATCAAGTTGCAAAATGCATACAAAAATAGACTAATTAGGATTATAAGACAAAATATATAAACGTACATTGACTTCGTTATTTCAGTCCTAACATTTTTCACCACTGGCAGGTAGTTAAACTTCAAAATGTTTTCATTTGGTCTCAAAATAATGAAGATGGAAATATTATCGAGTAAAAAAGATTTTATCTTTGTTGATCGGTCAATACTTATACTATCAATTGCGCATGAGGGTGGCGCAGCAG